TGGAATGGTATTTTTCTTTTTTCTCAATGCAATTGTTTTCTATTTTGTCATATCTGCATGTTTTTAGATCAAACATTTGGGTTATAAATATGTTTTTTGTTTTGTAGGAATTTAATCCAGAACCTGTAATTCCAATCTACAATGCCAGGCCTGAGCAAGTAGAGAAAGCTTTGAAGCATGTTTATCATGCATCCATGAGCAAAACTAAAGGAAAAGATTTAGAGCTCCTACTAGCCATTTTGCCTGACAACAATGGGTCCCTGTACGGTATGCCATATATGCCGGTGCTTTCACTTAGGATAGTTTATTAACCTTTGGCTTGAAATGCTCAAAGGTGACCTTTAAACTTAAGATTAGATCTGGAATTGCATATTTAATTGTAACTTGATTCTGCTATTTTAGGTGATATCAAGCGAATATGCGAAACAGATCTTGGTTTAATATCACAATGCTGTCTCACAAAGCATGTTTTCAAGATCAGCAAACAGTACTTGGCTAATGTGTCCCTGAAGATAAATGTGAAGGTTTGTTCAATTTCACAATATTATGAATACATGATGCTACAAAATTTCAAATTCATTTCACTCGTCATGTATTAACTATGAGAGGTGATTTGACAACAATCAGTTTACACGTGAAAAATTCCCAGACTATGTGCGACTCCATTAAGCATGAATGAGCTGATTTATATGGCATATGACTTGAGACAAAGTCACTAGTTTGAGAATGACAGCATCCTGTTTCGTTATTGCCTCTTGTGGAGTCGTTGTAAACCTTTTCTATTTATTTCGAATGGAAATTATCATTTTTGGTCCCAAGAATGACTGAATCCTGATGCTTTTTGGATCCATCCATTGTGCAGATGGGCGGCAGAAATACTGTTCTTTTGGATGCTATAAGCTGCAGGATACCTTTAGTCAGTGATATACCAACCATAATCTTTGGAGCAGATGTGACTCACCCTGAGAATGGAGAAGATTCCAGCCCCTCAATCGCTGCTGTAAAGGCCTTTACTACCTGGAACTTCTTTCTGCAATATATGCTGAAACCTTTGTTGCTAATCGATGTTTGTACTTATGCAGGTAGTAGCTTCCCAGGACTGGCCTGAAGTGACCAAATATGCTGGATTAGTTTGCGCTCAAGCTCACAGACAAGAACTCATACAAGATCTGTATAAAACATGGCAGGACCCTGTTCGTGGCACAGTCAGTGGTGGCATGATCAGGTATGAGAACTCTACAATCACTTCTTCTCTCAATCTAGTCTACATCATTTTTGCCCTCTTATTTGCTTGTAGCATCCTTGGCTTGCCCGCCACTCTTGCAAACCCATTTTGTTCCTTGGATCTTCTGCTTGCACACAATGCAACTCCATGCTGGAAGTTGTTGCATTTTACTCTTTTTTGAAGGTGTTAATATTCTATCTCAATATCATTTTCTCTTTTGTCCAGGGATCTTCTGGTTTCGTTTAGGAAAGCAACAGGGCAGAAGCCATTAAGGATTATATTTTACAGGTAAATGTCTTGTATACCTAGTGCCAGTGTATGCATGGCTTAATTTGATATTGGTACTTCATGTTGTTAACAAACACTCAGATTACCCTTAATCTAGCTTCTTTCGTGACAACTCCTGATGTGAGATATATGCGTCTGTTTTCCTATTTTTCTATTTTGTCGTGCTTTGTTCTTGTTTTAATGGCAAATATTCTGTGCAGGGATGGTGTAAGTGAAGGGCAATTTTATCAAGTCTTACTTTATGAGCTAGATGCAATCCGGAAGGTGAGAAGTGATTATCACTAGTATCAGATTATTCGAGATAAAAGTGGAAATTTCTGTTGCATTGATAAGTAATCTCCATACAGGCGTGTGCTTCGCTGGAACCGAACTATCAACCGCCAGTGACTTTCATTGTGGTGCAAAAACGGCACCACACACGATTATTTGCTAATAACCATAGGGACAGAAGCAGCATAGACAAGAGTGGGAATATATTGCCTGGTAAAGTTCAATCATCATGGAAACTTTTGTCTCTCATGTTGTTCTGACTTGTACTGATACTGAGAGTTCCATGCTCTGTGTTTATTGTTTTATTGTTTTATTGTTTTCAGGCACCGTGGTTGATACTAAGATTTGTCATCCGACAGAGTTTGATTTTTATCTCTGCAGTCATGCTGGTATTCAGGTACAAAATTGTATTCATCTTTTTACAAACATATAAATGTATCTCAATGAAACCATTTTCCATGAAGTCTAAAACAATCATGTTTCAAAAATTCACTTTTGCGATCAAGTGAGGCATGCAATGGGTGAGAATAAGATTCTACAGTTTGATCTATGGGCAAGCCCAACAACTCATTAGAAGGTTCTTTCTAAAGAGCAAGTGATTGGGGGATAGAATATCTAATAGATCCTAAATTTTCTATAATACTTTTAGTCCTACCTTTTGAAAGTTTATTCTCTTTTCTCTGGGCATAGCTGTGGTTGAAGAGGAAGGTTTTTGAGAATGATGATGATATCTTGAGTTGTACCCATATACTCATCTTATAAACAAAGATTAAATGCATATTGTTTCTTTTGCTATTTGTTATATTCTTAAAATCTTTGAAGGTTGAATGTATAAATATTTATCTCATATGGCAGGGGACAAGTCGTCCGGCTCACTACCATGTTCTTTGGGATGAGAATAATTTTACTGCTGATGGAATCCAGTCATTGACAAACAACCTTTGTTACACATATGCAAGGTGCACGCGCTCCGTCTCTGTTGGTAAGCCATTCTTCTACCCTTGTTATGTTCCTGAATAATTTTTTGCTGGCGAACAATCATTTCTCCAGAGAATGCAAAGCCATGACAGACTAGGATTCTAGCTGCAAAAAGTTCAACTATGTGCTTTAAAAGTTGTAGTTAGATTGACCAAATTCTGTGGCTCCTTTTGCAGTACCTCCGGCATATTATGCACATTTGGCTGCTTTCCGTGCTCGATTCTATATGGAGCCAGATATGCAGGAGAATGGCTCTACTGGTCATACTGCTAAGGGTACACGGGCTGCAGGAGAGACTGGGGTCCGGCCATTGCCAGCCTTGAAGGAGAATGTAAAGAGAGTAATGTTTTACTGTTAGAAGTAGAAGAGGATTGATGGTTTGGTCGCCGAGATGAGCTAGCCATAAACGATGCTGCAGTCGTAAGATCATTCACTGTTAGATTCGTTCTTCGTATATGGACCATTCATGCATGGTTCAAGGTCTTCCAGTTTAACCTAGCAGGAGGGAAGAAAAGAAAGGGTATTTCAACTTAGATCAGTGGTTATAGTGTTAGAGTTCTTTGATCATAGATAGCAGGTCCTTGTTCTCTTGCAGTGTAGACCCCATTATGGGAAGTTTATCAGTTCTAGCCTCTGTAAAGAAATGTTAATTAATCAATCAAATTTATATGTAGGAAAATTTTGCCCAAGTCTTCAAAGATGCTTCTCAAAGCTACCAGTCTTGGCAGTTTTGCTGGAGAAGTATCTCAGAATGAATGAGAAGAATTGCAAGTTATTAACTGCGATTCCTTCTGCAATTTACCAGTTACTCAGCAATAAATTGCTATCACGACCAAACAATCTGAACTCATAAAGGCAGCCAAAACTACGAGAGTAAGTTACCTACACTGGTTAAACCAAAAGAATAACTTATTACCTCCACTGGGATGTTGTCGACATCCTAAGTTAATCATGCACTAATGCACTTTCATTCGTTTTAACTTTTTTATATAACAGTGCGTGAGTAGTTTGAAATACTGTTACATTTGCGTCCCAATTGAAGTAGTCCAAAACTACAACTATTGAAAATTACAGCAGTGATAATTAAAGTGGAAGTTAGTGTGGTTGAAGATGGGTTGTCACTTGTCAATCATAATCTGCAGGGTTAAAGTGCTAGCATAATTGATAGTTGATATGGTAAATGTGGTTGTTTGCTGCAATTGGATGAAATGGACAAATGCAGTATCATTCTTTTAATGGGAAGGACTAGTCATCACGCCTGCTTCTTTCACTCAACTTATATTTGATTTCCAGTACAAACAAATTCCCAAATACATGGTCATGAAGGATGTTACTTGTTTGATAATAGTGGATGAAATGCAAATTCTCACTTTGAAATTAAATTTTCTTATTTTAAAATCAGTAATTATACCTTGCATTATTTCATATATTGTGTCAGGTATACATCAGTGGTGGTTCAAGTATTTTTGTACATCCAGTCATCTTTTTGTCTTTTGTTGCTCTCACAAGACTCATCCAACAACTAGTGTAGAGATTTGGGTATCTTCTCCACTTATAATTCTGGCTATAATGCTCCCACCTTTTTCCCATTTCCAGCATTTACTTCTTCTTCTGGTAATTAACTCAGCAGTGACATTTTAATTACCACTCGTCTCGTGAAAAGTACTCACACACCTCCATATTGGTTGAAAAGTTTTTACAAGATATATAACAGTTTATGTATTTATACATATCATTTCCCTTTCATATGACATTAATTTGTCCATCTTAAAATCACATTCATAAATTCCTTGAACATTCAAAATGCAGATCAAAGTTAGAAATCAAGAAACCCTATGAAATCTCTTCAACTTAATCAGAAGACTCTCAGTATCAACACTATCATATCCCATTAATCTAAAGTGGTCTCAGGTTCGAACCCCCCATGGCACCATGGTACATGCGTATGTGATAACCCCCCCTTCCTTATTGCTTGTATTAAAAAAGATTAACATATATAAGGATTAATCATCGTCCTGTGCTAATTAAGCTTCTTAATGTTGGAGAAACCTTGCCCTCTGGATCATTTTTTACTCAGAATGCAACTAAGAAGGCCTTGCTACCAATGGTGGCTCAAGTGCTTGGAGCATCTACATATTCGGTATGTGACAAATTCAACCTAGTTAATCACCCATCTGATTATTTCCCTTCTCATGAATGATAATTGACATATGAAAAACTGTGGAAAGAGTTGGGAGAATCAAAGAAAGTGACGTTTTAGATTATTTATTTTCTCAGGGAAACTGAAAACTCTTTGGGAATCTTTTCCGTTTATGCATTCTATCAAAAGAGAGGGCCCAAAGTCCAACAACCAACATACAGAGACTCTTCAGAGAGAGAGAGAGAGATGGTAAATTACATTTATACTATGAAACTTGGAAACTATTGAAGGGTTTCACATGGGCTCACAGTTGAGAAATTACATCATCAATTGCAATCACATTGCACACTTAGGAAACAGACACAGCCAATCTCACAGATTATTTCTACTGAGAATCCAAATTTGCCAGAATTGATCTGTGTGTCTGGTCTGCATATGATATGAAGTGATCAAAATATATATTGTATATTTGTCTTTTTGAAGCCTGAAGGTGGCACTTCAAGCCATATGGCTTCATATTCTATTCTCAATTTGAGAAGGTGAGCATTTAAATGACTGCCTGTACTGTACTTATCTGGTCCAATATTATTGTCAGAATACAAATAACTTGTCTCATTATCCCCCAACTGCCACAGAATTAATACACAGAGAGAGCAAATTAAAATCATGGTTCCATTTCAACACTCAATTTCAGATGTCTTCTACTTCTACTTTCTTTTCATCTACATCAGATTTAATTTATAGGGAGGAAATAAGAACTTGAAACAATATATACCAGAAATGTAAGGCAAGTTTGTTTTGTGCCATCATAACCCTATAAGGTGAAAAGGAAGATATATATTGTAACATGCAACAAGCTCAGAAAACCAGATCCTTAAGAAAGATTGTTTATTTTTTAAGTATTTTTGGTTAATAAAGAATCTTCAAATGGTCCAAATTCACTACTCCCATTCTCAATTAAAGTCTTCCTACATCTCACAAGCAGTTTCATCACCTTAGAAAGAAGTTCTGAGAAGTAAAATTGGACCCAATCTCATGAAATATGTCAATATTAAGTGTAAATTATATACACATAATTTAAGACCATATGTTATATAGTTGAATGACATTAAATTTATACAAATAAAAAAGCCCTCAGAAAGTTGTTTTCCCTGCAACATCCTGTGAAAACACAATGGTAATAGTCCACTTCACTGCCCCATCTCTCTCTCTCTAGAAAACTTATGATTCTATTCCATACCCTAGCCAATATAATAACCTAGCTAGGGCTTAATCCCCAGTCAATAACATGGATGGAATTTAGGAACCTCCAACTAAGACAAAATTTCAGGCAAGCACATCGAATTTCAGACCGTATGGTATTGAATGGAAAACCTTAAATTCATGGTAATATCATGAACACATATATGCTTACATATGAAATCTTGATGCAGACCGTATGACTAATAATCAAAAAGAGTACGACAGGTTTGCTCGGTAGCAGTGGCTCAATGTCCAAAGTGCCAGTTGAGGATCTTGAAATCATCGAACTGCGTGGAAACACACGGTTTCTGTCATTCAAAACCCTAACAACCCCAAAACAGCTGACATTTCCGAGCAGCTTTCCCACCAAAAAAAAAAAAAAATTTAACATGAGCTGAATTTATCAATATACCAATTGACACCACAACAAAAACCCACATACATACTGTCGACTTATTGAGAAACTGAAGATCGTGACATACCTTTTATCTAGGGATTGCAAAGGTTTATGTGGGAATTAGGGTTTGATCTCATGCTACCAATAACAGGTGAAACTGCCACATGATCTGATCTTCCCTAACCAAAATAGGGAGGTTAAGATCATGCTGGCAGCTTCAACTGCTACAAATGCATGATAAGAAAATATGTACAGTACTCATGATCCTTCCTTGGAGCAAGACTAGAAATTTTGAGAGAGAGGGAAAGAGACAGAGACAGAGACAGAGAGAGAGAAGGGGGGTGGGGGGCCTTTAATTTGCTAGGTAGTGAGCTAGGGTTTGATGGAAAAGAAAGAAGATGAGAGGAGGGTATAAATAGAGGCAGAAGGTAGAATTATCATTTTATTAAGAATTAGATGGAATATTGAAAAGCTGAAAAAACTTAATAATAAAAAACAAAATTGAAAGATGTAAAGGGAGGGAGGAGGGTGGTCCCAATTGTGTGATGTTTGCATATTGAATATTATCACGCCAAGACTGCCCCCCATGCAGTTTGCTGCAGACAGATTAGTGAGTGTTTCCTTATTTGTGTGCATTTACATTAATATGACTTTTAGGTTGGGGCCTGAGGCATGTGGGGGACCCTAAATTCACATCTCTATCTCTCTCTCTCACAAGCAGCAGCAGCTGCAACAACAACAAAGGAAAGCATCAAACCATGAGAGCCAAAGGAAAAAAGAAAGAAAGGAGAGATGAGTGTGTTTGTTTGTTCAAATTTTGGGACCATTTTGCATGGTTATCTTACAATTACATAGATATTGCATAGTGTTTCACACATAAAGATGAAAGAAGAAAGCATCTCAACCCAAGAAAATGATCTCTGATTACGTCTCTCTCTCTCTCTCTCTCCAATGTGCATTCAATATATCCATTCCATTCAAGCATCTTTTTTCTTAAACCATTGATAATAGCCTTCCTTTGCAAAAATTTCCATTTGTTGAATTTTTGGTAGCTGTGTGCATCTGATTGATGCCAGCTGCACAATACTAGTTATTGGAAACATTTGATACCCTTCAAATTAAAGAAAGAAAGAAAAAAATATATATCATTAAGAAAAAAAGAAAAAGAAATCTGATGACGACATTTGGGAAAATGACTACTTGTTTGTTATAAAAAAAAATATTTAAAAAAAAGTTATTGTTGTTTAAAATTTAAAAATGTCGTCCCTCTTGTTTTTTAAACACTGGGTGTGATGATGAAACCAATATATGCAACCACACCACACCCTTTGCCATAAAGCTCATGAATAGCACAAGTTCGGTTTTTTTTTTCTTTCCCTTTTTGGGGTACATATATAGGAGGCCGAAGCTAGCCAAACAAAAACACTCAAACTACAAAGGAATTGATAGACCTTGTCCTAGCCAAACCTGGGACATGATTAGACCAAGGTGCCTAACAAGGTGAGAGCATAAGTCCTCAATTACAAGTCTGAATAAGTCTAAAAAGATCGAGGATGCTTAGGAGCAATAGCACAATTAATTGGTAAGATAATATATTAATAGAGCATTCGAAACCTTTTCAAGATTTCAATTTTTTATTATTATTTAAGAATCCATATTTCCTTTTCTTGTTAATTAATTAAACAAGCATAATATATATGCAGAGGCCGGAATATATTCCTTGGTTTTTATACTGTGACTCTAATGATTGAATATTTCAAAATTCCTAGTATACTGTATATATAATATATAAGGTCTTCCACTCGTCCCAGGGTAGCCGGTGCCTGACATATTCTCCACATTCACAGAGCCACTGGTATAGTACGCAATGTGTGTTGTTGCAACTTTGAGGGGAGAGAGTATCAAGCCATTACATGAATCCTGTTGCCTAGCTAGTATAATCTTCTTACCTTGATTTCACTTAACTTATTGGTTTTCATTGGGGTGTAACTAGGTTTTGTTGAGAGTGTATAGAATCCCAAGTTGGGATTTTAAAGTCGAGCCTCAACTCGTGGGTCGCTTGACTTTGAAGTTTTATGCTTTAATTTATAGCGTAATGTGCTCCATGCCACTCAAGTTAGTTTCAATCACTTAGTACAACATGCAATTGATCATGTTCTTAATTAGCATAACACGATAGTATTGGAGTAAGATAAGTGAGCAACATGCATTTTTACATATTGTGCTTACCCCACCCCCTCCCTCTTTTCGTTTTAGTTTAGTATTAATGTTAGACACATATATCCAAATAAATTAGATAAATAGATTAATTGCTTGAAAAAAAAAATGAAGAAGGAAAATATATAATAACAGAATAATGCTACTCTTACCACATTTGTATACCACATTCTCATACTACCTTATGTGGCAGATGAGGTGGACAGCCACATCAATTAAAATTAATTTAACATTTTCTTTTCTTTTATGTATGATTTATTGATACTTTTTAATTGATGTGACTGTCCACTTCATGTGCCACATAAAGTGGTATGAGAATGTGGTATGCCAATGTGGTAAGAGTAGCATTTAACATCATCATCACTATATTGAAATTCGAAATACAATTGATATTGACAATAAAGTGAGCATTACTGCATCATTATAGTTAATTCTGACTAAAAATATCATAGATTTGTGTTGTTAACGCCCTAGAATTAATATGAGAAAGAAAATAGGGAGAAACTTTCAAATAATACTTTTTTTTATCAAAGAGAAACTTCTTCAGATAAACTACAATATTAAAATTAAAGACATAAATATGACATCTAAAATACTAATCCCAAGTCCCTTTTCTAAAAAAAAAAAAACAGTCCTAGTGTCGTTTTCACTTTGAGGGGAGAGGAAGCCATTGTTCTTCCTTTCCTCTTCCCTCATCTCTTGCTCCCTTCTCTTCTCTTTCCCCATTTTCAGAGACAGAAGGTTTCCCCTATTTTTTTTTTTCGTTTTGTTATGATTTTCCTCCACCCCATCATAGGCGGTTGCGTTACGACATCGGATCTCCACCACCATCCTTTTTACAATTTCTTTATGTTTGGAATAAACCGCGGAGACTCTTTGGGTCTTCTATGTAGTTTTCACCTATCCTTTTGTGAGAGTTTTCCACCTCTCTTTTGTGATAGTTTTATTTGTATTGTTATGGCTTGGGTTTTTTTCAAGAGCTTTATCTCTATTTGATTGTTCTGAGTTTGCAATCTTACTTGGGATGCCTATGCCAGAGTTTCTTCAATCCTGTGTGATTGTTAGTGTAGACGCACCATATTGTCTTAATTTTGATGTTAGATTGCTTCGTTATTGTAATGGCCCTTTGTGGCTATTTTGTATTGGCTCTTTATGACTAGTTTGTTTTGGCCCTTTGTAGCTAGTGGCTCTTTTGACTGAATTATGACTGCAATCCCAGAATTTCTCAACAACAAAGAAAAAAGAATAATGCTATTCTTACCACATTTGTATACCACATTCTCATACCACCTTATGTAACAGATGAGGTGTACAACCACATCAATTAAAAAGTGTCAATAAATCATAAAATAAAAGAAAATGTTAAATTAGTTTTAATTGATGTGGTTGACACATCATTTGCCACATAAGATGGTGTGGGAATGTGGTATACAAATGTGGTGAGAGTAACATTACTATAAAAAAAAAAGGTGCCAATTCTAAGAGTGTAACAAACTACCATGCTAAAATCAAAACTAAAGTGGACAAAAGGTGCACTAAAACTCTCAAATAATACTTTGACTGTAGAATGGTTCTCAAATAGACCCATTATCATTTTGATATGAAGTCGAGACTGCTGATATTGTAGATATTGTCTTATTATATTGATAAAAAAATAGCCCAACGTTAAAATATTCAACACTCCTTGTCTTGTGTATCCAAATCTTAGAAAGAGAAATATCGCTAGATCAAAGTGCTAGTTGATTATTGAAATTAGCAAGAATCGATTAGGCAAATGATCAATCAGTACATGGACTACCACCAGATTTGCGGATCGAGCCAGTTTAATTAACAACGTTCAAAATTGTTTTTAAAAGGCCATGGTGGGCACTTCCATTATATATTTCTGCTTGGAATATGCTACATCAATTTTTCACTCTAAAAAGAAAAAAGGAAAAAAAAGAACCTTGATTTACATGTTTGGAATTTTACTGCTGATGGCAGGCATATATACGAATGCAATAATTTCCACTTACCAACTCGATGGTTGGTTACCACTGTTAAAAAGTTTCACTGTTAATTTCATCATAATGTGGAATGTTTCTGGGGTCATGATGTTAGCAAGATTGTAGCATGATGCATATGCCCTTAATTTTTACATGACTGACATCCCTAGCCAGATCCAGGCTACAAAAATTATGGTGTGCCTACCTAGTTATCTGGTCTGCGCGAAATTAAAGAATGCAATCAATTCTTATCTAATTTTAGTGTCTTAATTAATTTTTGTAGTCATAATAATACGATATTTTAAACTACTCTAATGTACGGAAAGAGAGATATTAAATTCATACACAAAGGGTGAACACACTATCTTAAAAATATATTTGCTTGACATTAATAAATATATATATAAACTTTGCTAATTGTTTGTTGGTGTAATGATGTGTGATCTAAAGCCCAAACATTGAATCATTATAAGCCTCTCCACCCTCCCCCCACCTTCTGAATCTGCTGCTATATTATGGTGCGGGACCATAAGCTTAGTTGAATTCATTTTACAATGTGTAGAGGCAGATGGTGGGAGGAATTTAGCCTAAGCCTATAAGCAACTCCTACCTACCCATTTGATGAGGTTGCTCTGAGAATGTGGTAAAATACTAGAAATATGAATTCCGCCCTTAATGGGAAACTTGAAACTTTATATGCCATTGCCAATATGGTGGTCCAATACTACTCCAACTGCTGACCAAAATGGAGCTCAAATTTTTCACTTTCACTAGCTTGTACACCAATGTACTGCAATTACCCTCCCCCCAAGTGGAAGAAAAAAACAAGTAAAAGAGAACAAAAACAGTAAAAGTAACATGTACAAAGTAACAAAACCCACGAATTCAGGTAAAAGAACTTAAAGGCAACCTTTCAATTTTCCATTACCTTAAATTGCATGCGATGTGGTTGACATTGGTTTTTGTACAATGAACATATATATATATATGTAAGTGTTCCTGATGAAAATAGGTACTTTAAATCAAAACATGGCTTAGAGATGATGGATCTTAAGGGTTTTGGTTGCTCATCACTAGTCACATCCCCCCTACTTACCACTGATATATCCAGCACCAACTTGAACTTGAGAGAGAGAGAGAGAGAGAGAGAGAGAGAGAGAGAGAGAGTATAATTTCCTTTGGGGTGTGTTCCCTAAGAGTTAAGGGCTATAAAAGGGCTAGGTTATTAAGAAATCTGGTCCCTCTTTTGTAGGATGACAGGCAGAGTTGGCTGGAGAGACTAGGGACTAGAGATTAGGGTGGTCCAGGTCCTGTCCTGTTGCTAGCTCTGCTCTGGTTGTAGATATGCTTGCTGTGCTGGTGCCTACCCAGTGAGCTGTGAGGCTGGCGGCTAGGCGGCTAGGAGGGAGAAGGAAGGGCAATTACATTTACTAATTGCTGTCTCTCTGTCACCTTATTTTAGAATTCAGAATTATAATTTAGAGTGGTTTATGTTTATCCAAAAGGCAACTACAGCAGTGCAGTTGATGGATAAAGCAGAACACTGCATCAGCATCAGCACCAGCCCCAGCCCATTAAACATTTTAAACTAATATAATTGCTACTGTTCCAAAAGGCTGAGGGCCAAAGGGTATATAGACTGAAAAATTAGGTTCAAACTCAAGTTCAATGGACGGACATACTGTTTTGATCAATTAATGGACAAACACACTTTCTTAGTCAATTTATCTAACCCATATTTGCTAATCCTAATTGTTTAATGTCTGTAGTTTGTATAAGTTTTTATTTTGATATGTCTCCCTGGCGCACCCAGAAGTTTTTTAGCGGAGATGCAATATTGACTAAGTATGAAAAATGGTTTTTCGGAATAATCATTTTCTCAAGATAATTTTTGACGGCTTTTATTCCTTACACATCAAATAAGAAAACTTGATTTTATGGGATTTTAGTATGAAGTATATATTGACTTAATGAGCCATCATTTTTAGCATAAATCGTATTTTGCACTAAAACCGATTTTTCATATTTTTTGGTAAATACCACGAGGTGTCCCCACACCCGAAGGGTGGGATTAATCCCCGCTCGGGGTTCGGATTTTTCATATTTTGATTTGGTGGGAATTTGATTTTATAATATTTTTATTTGAACCCAAATAGGGGGTATTTCCTTATTTACATTGTAAACTTAAGTAAATTGAGTAATATAAAAATAAATTAAAGTAAAAGGACAAAGACATTTACTTAAATGTTGAAAATTGAAATAAGGTAATCTGTACACCAGTTGAGCAAATGGGCAATTTAAAGCACCTACAATGGTTTTTCCGACGAGAGAAGATGCAGTTGTACATCCTTGTGCTTTAATAGGTCCGCCACCCCCTTCCATGCTTATTGGCACTAAGCATCTTTTTTCTTTTGGGAGAAGATGTTTAATTATTACTGCACTTGCTGCATGCATGTGGCACACCAAGTCAAAACACAAGACAAGTGGAATGGTGGCTTTTATTTTAAATTTTTTACTTTTTCCTTTTAGAGATCAGTTAGGAATAGCCCATGTTACTCCCACTGTGGTTGTGTATTAACAGTGTGCCTTGGGAAAAATAGAAAATTCTGCTTCTTCCGACCACCGGTTGACCATGGTGCTTAGGGAAAAGTACACTTGTCTATTGAATTATGTGAATATATATATTCAATTTAACAAATAATTATCTTTTATATAAAATGTTTTACTCGTTAGGAAAAAGTAGTGGCTCAATAGTTTCAACCCTATTGTGCTTTAATCTTCCATATATGTATTTATTTTGTGGCTGTGATGAGATTCTTTTTTCTTTTTTTTTTCTTTTGGTCAAAGCTAAAAAGAAAAGAGGGGTTTTCTCATGTACATTGTCAAGGTGCCATAAAAAATCAAATCTGAGATAATTGATATGCAAGCAAGACCCTTTTCACTAGACTAAACCTCATTGGTTGATGGGATTGTCTCAATTAATTAATTTGCACTGTTGTATTATTCTTTTTCGGGTTGAAACCCAAGACATAGCCCGAAGCCCAAAACCAACAAAGTACGCCCAAGCATAATGTAGTATGATAGCTAACCGGATTGCGATGGGCATGTCCTTCTAGCCGTCTCCAATAACATTGGTGAGAATTCCATAAATGTGGCTGAAAGTGTTGCTCTTCGGGATGGTCTTGTTGCTACTATTGAGAGAGGTTGGGATCAAATTGTGATTGAAGGTGACTCTGAGCTCATCATTGATAGTATTCTTAAAAAAGCTAATCCCCCTTGGAGTATCCAACGGATTATTCAAGATATTTGGTCCATTTCTTCTTCTATCGTCTCTATCCGTTTCCATCGGCGGATGCGATTGCTAAGCTGGACCATGGGTTATCAACTCAAGTTTGTTGGGAGTTTGGTCTTCCGTTATCTATTTGTTCCCCTTTTTATTTCGACCTCTTTGGGCACGCTTGCCCAATGGGTTTTGTGTTGTAATTTCTTTTTTCCGCATAAATAATAATAATAATAATAATGTAGTATGATAGCTAACCACACAAGAGATCTTTTTTTATATCTTGATATATAGTATTTTGCAAATGATCCTACTGGCTTTGGCGCTAAACTTTTAATTTAATTAACTTGAAAATGGGTAGCAGATTGAAAATGCTTGTATGTATATGTAGAAATAAGAACCACAAATCTCTTAAAAAAACACCAGTCAATCTCACTCCGCAAAGATAATTACTAAACCAAAATTATTATTACAATTCTGTATTCAGCCAAAATTCCCAAAGTTTGTGTTTACAACAAATCGTCCCCAAATTTTAACATGCAACTCTAAAATTCTTGTGAGGCAGATCCAATGTCTCCTTTCCCTTTACCAATCTTCTTCGGCAACAGAGTCTAATGAATGTTTGGCAAAACACCGCCATTAGCCATAGTAACAGTCCCCAAAAGCTTGCTCAACTCCTCGTCGTTACGCACAACCAGCTGAATATGCCTTGGAACAATTCGATTCTTCTTGTTGTCTCTTTTTTGTTTTTAGCTAAATTGGTTAGAGTGGAACTTTTGGCATAAAATGTATCCCAAATTACATTTTGGGTTTTCTGGTTTGGTACATTTTCTGTTTCGGGTCCCGTCATTTTAATTTTAGCAATTTTATTCATGTAATTTTGCTTAGTTAGCACTCAAGACTTATAAATCTAACATTATTAAGAAAAATAAATGTACATTTTGAGAAGGGGAAGAGGAACAAGCAAACGGGTGACTTTTCATTTTCCAGCATTAAGTCTCCAAACCACAGTCCTAACGTGGACAAGAACACGAAGAAACTATAAAGAAATGGAGAGAGAGGTGTCAAACCTATTGCAAGAGATACTGGATGAACATTGTACTTCCCTGCAATATCAATGTATTCCTGTGAATGGAAATAAAAGCAGATTAGTATTTCAAAATTTGATAAATACAACAACATGCAGTAAAGAGACCAAAAGCTAGAACTAGAGATAATATTCAAAATAATTTTCCTTTTAGAACAAGGAGTACGGCAGACATTCATGAACTGCTATGGCACAGATGTAGAAACACAGGCTTGTATAAAAAATATTAATAACCACTGGGCATCATACCACTAAGATGTAAACATGACATTGAAACAAAACCAGTGAAAATGTATGACTATCATTTTCTCACCCAGAGGGCCAGATTTTTATCAAAGTTTTCAAAAGGCATTTGTGCTAACTTGAATTCAAAGTTCTAAATAACCTTAGATTTTTCATTTGGCCTATCAAAGTGAAGAGAATAATATCCATACCATGGCTGCTGCTCTTATGATGTGATCGGACAGGTTGTATCAGACCCCCAATCAGGCAAAAAATACATCCCAGAGAGTAAACCCATTGCCAGGGGGCTGTAGGCTAATAAACTGATGCTAAAACATTCAATAGCCCAACAGAAAATCATTAGTAGTATTACATGAAGTGGCAGAACTCATTTATAAATAATATAATTAAATCGATCATTTTACCACTCAATAAACTCACATGAATAAGTTTTATTCAATGGCTTACCTAGGTTTGAAAGCCATAAAAATTGAAAACCCAAAATGCACGTTTAGATAAGAAGCCCTTCCCCAAAGTGACTCTCATGTTCTCTGTTGGAATTTTAATTCCACTTACTAATGTTATATTATTCAAGCTACTAATTAGCAAGAATATTCAATTGAATTTCTTCAAGAACTGCTCAGGAGTCAGGACAGGATAGGAAAAGTAACATAACTTCAACTTCATCAAGAAATTGGCATGCACAAATCAAGCAAGCTTTCCCAATCATTTCATACCGGATGAAATAATTAATTGTTCAGCTATTCACTTTTTCTGAAAACCAACACTTTGAATACGTCTCATGATGACAGCATTCAGCCAACCCAGAATCAAAAGTTCGACAGAGCAAGCTGTATGAGTTCTATCAAATCGACAATAAGTTGCATTAGTCCAAAAATCAGCAGCAACAATGCAGTAAGCATTTGACTGAGAGTGCAATGATCAAATAGACAACCTACACAGAGACAATCTTTGGATGGCGAGCAGCTACCTGAACAAACTTCATCACCCCATATGGTGTTTCGTTACTGAGACCAACATATCTAATCTTCAATACAAAAATTTCCTTTCAATAAACATGGGAATTTTATGCTCTTAAAACATTGCAAAATAAAGGAAAAAGTCACCAAACTAAACGACTTATCAAAGAAAGGGGAAGAAAGGCAACAGTATGAAACTAACCTTACCAGAATCAACAGCTATTCCTAGAGCATCAAGTTGTTCGTCTATGGGAATCGAACTGAACTTTCGGGTTGGATCATACTCAATTTCTCCAAACATGGGAACATAGCTACAAAAACAGTCATTAATCAGTTCAAGTCTTATTAACAGGGATTGTGTAGTCCCAAAACACTAAAAGGAAGGATCTACATACAAACCGATCAGGCCAATGTAATCTGTCTGCAATCGCCTTAAGCTGCATTTAAACATTACATAACTCATTACTCAGCACAGCATAACACGAAGCGTTTAAAAAGAAGCAAAATTACAAACTGTTTGCTTGAGCAAACCTGCCGTCAATGGCCTCGGTGATATTCTTAGCATGCAAACACTTGGGGTCATCTCGTATCCAAGTCATCTGCCCAGACGGTCCCGTAACCTGTAATATCAGAACAAATTTTCATACATGAGAAGTGAAAAGCAAGCTGGCACACCATTATTAGCATGAACTGATACTCTCAGAGCTACTTTACAACCTTGGTGGCCAAAACGACGCTCCTCGCTCCTCCCCTGAGTCTGGGCTCGCTGAACCACTGGATACATTTCTACAGAGATGCCGGCCTGGAAAGCTTGCTCGAGGTCGGAAACGTGTTTTTCTTGCCGAAAGTCTTCGTCCTAGCGAAGAATGAATTTATATTTGAGGATGAGAGGGAGAGCCAAAGAATCAGACTCAGAGTCGGTAAGATTGGGGGCGAGGTTGAAGAGAGGCACCGCCATTGCTTCGCCTGAGAAGCTCTTTGAGTTTGTCAACTGTGAGTGTAACGGGAAGGAGAAAAATCAAAGTATCTGCTATATCGGCGCAAGTTTGGTGGATTTTCAGGGGTTGGATAAGATAAAAAGAGAACGGAGTTACTATCGAAGTGTTCGTTATCGCTAATTTTCACAACCACCAAAAAAAACAAAAAATCGAAAAATCGGCCTAGGCGGCCTGGGCGGGTTGGTTTTTTTTTTTCAATTTTTTTTTATAATTTATAATTTATAATTTTATTTTCCTGGATTTAAAACAGTCTTGGAGGGAAATGGAGAGCAGGAAGAGATAGACTTAGAGGCCTAGCCTTTCATGTCAAGTAATTTTCTTTGTTATATGCTTTACGCTTAATTTTCCCCATGTTTTATATCAATTATGGTACTTTATAATTTATATATCCTTTTATTTTGCATAATTTTGAAAATAATTAAAAAAGAAATAAAAAAACGCCTAGGCCCCAATTACTCCTCTAGGCGCTAGACCTATTTTTCAAACATCGCTTCCACCACATAATTGATACAAAATATTTGTTTACTAAAAACACCTGCAAATAAAATTATTTTTTACATTCACAACTATTTCTTGCTGATAATTAATACAAATATTTGTTTACCTATTAATTTTGGCCGAGAAAAACTATTTTTCATTAATACACTCTTTTTTATCCTGCTTTCTTTTCCATTTCCCAAAATTAAAAGTGGATTTAGAACTTTTGTAATAACAAAATAAGGGATAAGAGGGCAACTAATTATTGTTTAGTTCTTCATCAAGAAATTGGCATGCACAAATCAAGCAAGCTTTCCCAATCATTTCATACCGGATGAAATAATTAATTGTTCAGCTATTCACTTTTTCTGAAAACCAACACTTTGAATACGTCTCATGATGACAGCATTCAGCCAACCCAGAATCAAAAGTTCGACAGAGCAAGCTGTATGAGTTCTATCAAATCGACAATAAGTTGCATTAGTCCAAAAATCAGCAGCAACAATGCAGTAAGCATTTGACTGAGAGTGCAATGATCAAATAGACAACCTACACAGAGACAATCTTTGGATGGCGAGCAGCTACCTGATTACAATTTAATTTTAGAAAATGCATCAAATCATTTTGGTCACATTGAATTAGATCTTCAAACATCTATAATTTTGAAGATCATAATTTTGATTTAGAAACCTAAAAAAATTTCATTTTACTTTTCATTTTGTAGGTATGACATCCATTTATTTAAAGGGCTAAAATAAGATACTCGTCACCATATATCTTTAAATAACCCAAAAGAGATAATATTAAACTCTTATTCTATTATTTTGATAATTATAAGTTTTTGCGTACATGCATATAACCAAATTCCAAATCTCAATACAAAAATTTCCTTTCAATAAACATGGGAATTTTATGCTCTTAAAACATTGCAAAATAAAGGAAAAAGTCACCAAACTAAACGACTTATCAAAGAAAGGGGAAGAAAGGCAACAGTATGAAACTAACCTTACCAGAATCAACAGCTATTCCTAGAGCATCAAGTTGTTCGTCTATGGGAATCGAACTGAACTTTCGGGTTGGATCATACTCAATTTCTCCAAACATGGGAACATAGCTACAAAAACAGTCATTAATCAGTTCAAGTCTTATTAACAGGGATTGTGTAGTCCCAAAACACTAAAAGGAAGGATCTACATACAAACCGATCAGGCCATTGTAATCTGTCTGCAATCACCTTAAGCTGCATTTAAACATTACATAACTCATCACTCAGCACAGCATAACACGAAGCGTTTAAACCGAAGCAAAATTACAAACTGTTTGCTTGAGCAAACCTGCCGTCAATGGCCTCGGTGATATTCTTAGCATTCAAACACTTGGGGCCATCTCGTATCCAAGTCATCTGCCCAGACGGTCCCGTAACCTGTAATATCAGAACAAATTTTCACACATGAGAAGTGAAAAGCAAGCTGGCACACCATTATTAGCATGAACTGATACTCTCAGAGCTACTTTACAACCTTGGTGGCCAAAACGACGCTCCTCGCTCCTCCCCTGAGTCTGGGCTCGCTGAACCACTGGATACATTTCTACAGAGATGCCGGCCTGGAAAGCTTGCTCGAGGTCGGAAACGTGTTTTTCTTGCCGAAAGTCTTCGTCCTAGCGAAGAATGAATTTATATTTGAGGATGAGAGGGAGGGCCAAAGAATCAGACTCAGTCGGTAAGATTGGGGGCGAGGTTGAAGAGAGGCACCGCCATTGCTTCGCCTGAGAAGCTCTTTGAGTTTGTCAACTGTGAGTGGAACGGGAAGGAGAAAAATAAGTAACTGCTATATCGGCAGAAGTTTCGTGGATTTTCAGGGGTTGGATAAGATAAAAAGAGAACGGAGTTACTATCGAAGTGTTCGTTATCGCTAATTTTCACAACCACCAAAAAAAACAAAAAATCGAAAAATCGGCCTAGGCGGCCTGGGCGGGTTGGTTTTTTTTTTTCAATTTTTTTTTATAATTTATAATTTATAATTTTATTTTCCTGGATTTAAAACAGTCTTGGAGGGAAATGGAGAGCAGGAAGAGATAGACTTAGAGGCCTAGCCTTTCATGTCAAGTAATTTTCTTTGTTATATGCTTTACGCTTAATTTTCCCCATGTTTTATATCAATTATGGTACTTTATAATTTATATATCCTTTTATTTTGCATAATTTTGAAAATAATTAAAAAAGAAATAAAAAAACGCCTAGGCCCCAATTACTCCTCTAGGCGCTAGACCTATTTTTCAAACATCGCTTCCACCACATAATTGATACAAAATATTTGTTTACTAAAAACACCTGCAAATAAAATTATTTTTTACATTCACAACTATTTCTTGCTGATAATTAATACAAATATTTGTTTACCTATTAATTTTGGCCGAGAAAAACTATTTTTCATTAATACACTCTTTTTTATCCTGCTTTCTTTTCCATTTCCCAAAATTAAAAGTGGATTTAGAACTTTTGTAATAACAAAATAAGGGATAAGAGGGCAACTAATTATTGTTTAGTTTACAATTTAATTTTAGAAAATCCATCAAATCATTTTGGTAACATTGAATTAGATCTTCAAACATCTATAATTTTGAAGATCATAATTTTGATTTAGAAACCTAAAAAAATTTCATTTTACTTTTCATTTTGTAGGTATGACATCCATTTATTTAAAGGGCTAAAATAAGATACTCGTCACCATATATCTTTAAATAACCCAAAAGAGATAATATTAAACTCTTATTCTATTATTTTGATAATTATAAGTTTTTGCGTACATGCATATAACCAAATTCCAAATCTGCATAATAAGAATTTGGAGAGCTATTTATGATTTATCTGGCCAACTTACAGTCTCAAAATAATACATGGATAACGAAGCGTCAGAAACTACCACCAATAAAAATTACAAATCTCTAATTAGATTACAGACCTGACTCTTACAGAAGACATAATAATACAACATAGCTGCCTAACCTGACACAGCAAAAATACATCATTGGGGCTACAAAATTTGGAGTTCTCTATAGATTATTATTGCCTAAAAGTTCAACCTAGTATTTCTAAGTTCTTGATTTTGGAGGAGAGCTGCTGTGTTTGAGTAACAATTCGTAGAGGTTGTCAGCTGTCGGACGATTCTGTGGATTCTCCTCAGTACATTGGTAGAACAAGTCAACAAGAAATCTCAGTGTGTCTAAGTCAGCCTCTGTTCCGTCAAGCTCCGCACCAGCTTGAGTCATTATTGGCTCGTCCAATGACCGAAATGCCTCCAACTCCTCTGTCAACTTTGGCCGTTTTCCCATCTGTATGCAACAAACACCAAAGTCATCGTCCCAGCGAAGAATGAATTTATATTTGAGGATGAGAGGGAGGGCCAAAGAATCAGACTCAGTCGGTAAGATTGGGGGCGAGGTTGAAGAGAGGCACCGCCATTGCTTCGCCTGAGAAGCTCTTTGAGTTTGTCAACTGTGAGTGGAACGGGAAGGAGAAAAATAAGTAACTGCTATATCGGCAGAAGTTTCGTGGATTTTCAGGGGTTGGATAAGATAAAAAGAGAACGGAGTTACTATCGAAGTGTTCGTTATCGCTAATTTTCACAACAACCAAAAAAAACAAAAAATCGAAAAATCGGCCTAGGCGGCCTGGGCGGGTTGGTTTTTTTTTTTTTCAATTTTTTTTTATAATTTATAATTTATAATTTTATTTTCCTGGATTTAAAACAGTCTTGGAGGGAAATGGAGAGCAGGAAGAGATAGACTTAGAGGCCTAGCCTTTCATGTCAAGTAATTTTCTTTGTTATATGCTTTACGCTTAATTTTCCCCATGTTTTATATCAATTATGGTACTTTATAATTTATATATCCTTTTATTTTGCATAATTTTGAAAATAATTAAAAAAGAAATAAAAAAACGCCTAGGCCCCAATTACTCCTCTAGGCGCTAGACCTATTTTTCAAACATCGCTTCCACCACATAATTGATACAAAATATTTGTTTACTAAAAACACCTGCAAATAAAATTATTTTTTACATTCACAACTATTTCTTGCTGATAATTAATACAAATATTTGTTTACCTATTAATTTTGGCCGAGAAAAACTATTTTTCATTAATACACTCTTTTTTATCCTGCTTTCTTTTCCATTTCCCAAAATTAAAAGTGGATTTAGAACTTTTGTAATAACAAAATAAGGGATAAGAGGGCAACTAATTATTGTTTAGTTTACAATTTAATTTTAGAAAATGCATCAAATCATTTTGGTCACATTGAATTAGATCTTCAAACATCTATAATTTTGAAGATCATAATTTTGATTTAGAAACCTAAAAAAATTTCATTTTACTTTTCATTTTGTAGGTATGACATCCATTTATTTAAAGGGCTAAAATAAGATACTCGTCACCATATATCTTTAAATAACCCAAAAGAGATAATATTAAACTCTTATTCTATTATTTTGATAATTATAAGTTTTTGCGTACATGCATATAACCAAATTCCAAATCTGCATAATAAGAATTTGGAGAGCTATTTATGATTTATCTGGCCAACTTACAGTCTCAAAATAATACATGGATAACGAAGCGTCAGAAACTACCACCAATAAAAATTACAAATCTCCAATTAGATTACAGACCTGACTCTTACAGAAGACATAATAATACAACATAGCTGCCTAACCTGACACAGCAAAAATACATCATTGGGGCTACAAAATTTGGAGTTCTCTATAGATTATTATTGCCTAAAAGTTCAACCTAGTATTTCTAAGTTCTTGATTTTGGAGGAGAGCTGCTGTGTTTGAGTAACAATTCGTAGAGGTTGTCAGCTGTCGGACGATTCTGTGGATTCTCCTCAGTACATTGGTAGAACAAGTCAACAAGAAATCTCAGTGTGTCTAAGTCAGCCTCTGTTCCGTCAAGCTCCGCACCAGCTTGAGTCATTATTGGCTCGTCCAATGACCGAAATGCCTCCAACTCCTCTGTCAACTTTGGCCGTTTTCCCATCTGTATGCAACAAACAATAAGCAGATTTACTTCAGAGGTGAGGAAATATTCAACCTTAAAATCTCATTAGAATATAAACAAATGTAACCTAAAACAATTAGCTAACACAATCTAGATGCATGATTGAAGGCTGTAAATCAATTTATCAACTGTCATCCGGAGGAAAAGTACTCTAGAAACCCCTTACAAGGGCTCTACTACAGCAACCTTAGGGTCCTAATGCCAAACTTACTTATGGAGCTATGGAATAAACATATAAGGATTAAGATATTCTCTTTCTCACTTCACTGACTAAAAGATTCCAACTTCGGTTTCAACAATTACTGATGTATTACAAAATATACAATATTTACAAAATATAAATCACTGAAAGTATGGACCCCTCAAAACCAGTCCCGCTATTTTCATAACTCACATTCTCTAACAAACCTTACAAAAGTCTTCATAACAGAGAGAGAGAGAGAGAGAGAGAGAGAGAGAGAGAGAAGATTAGTACCATCAGAAGTTCATGAATCTCCATTTCAGATACTCCCGCATAAGGAATTTGCAAAGTCAACATTTCCAACAGCAGGCACCCAAAGGACCAGATATCAACTTCCTGTAACAACAAAGGAATAAAACTTAAACTATAGAGAAGATTAGTACCGTCAGAAGTTCATGAATCTCCATTTCAGATACTCCCGCATAAGGAATTTGCAAAGTCAACATTTCCAACAGCAGGCACCCAAAGGACCAGATATCAACTTCCTGTAACAACAAAGGAATAAAACTTAAACTATGCAAAAAAGCAAAGTTGCACTGATTTAATATAGAAGAAAGCGACAATATTGAGGTTGGAACACTTGGAACCATCTAGAACTTCAGCACACATGTATGTTTTAGGTAGATAGATTTCAAGCAGTGCGATTTGTGGTTTTCCTAAATTTAAAATTGAGTTATGGTGTACAAGGTAATGTGGTAGCATTCTTCACATGCTGCAAATGCTATATATCTGAAATGGCAATTCATGGACTTTATCACTTGTGCAACAAAAGTCAATTTGAAAACCAAAATATAGTGCATCTTGTAAGCAGAGCAAGTATTTTTCATTAATTTAAGCACAAAAATCCTTGGCATGTTAAAGACTTACCAGTCCATAAATATTTCGTTTATGCATTGCTCGCAAAACCTCTGGGGCCATCCAGCGAGGTGTTCCAACACAAACATCCGCATGATGTGTTCCTATATGGGCGATACAGCATGTATGCAAGTAAGACCGAAGAGGAACTGCTCTATCAAAATCACAGAGCTTCACAACAGATGTTCCATCAGCTCTCTTCTTATCCAAATCAACCAAAATATTTTCACTTTTTATGTCACGATGAATTATGTGCTTTGAATGCAACTCCACTAGTGCACATGCGACATCTTTAGCTATGCACAAAGCTAACTCTACTGGGACATGCTTCTCACCAGCTTTTGAAAGCTTTTGTATAAAACTCTGTCACATGATGGAGATGAAAAGATTTAAAACAAAATATAAAAACGCTAAGCAAAAGAAAACCTGATAATTTAACCAGTAAAATTCACCTGTAAGGAACCGTCCTTTATGTCCTCCATCCAAATTATTGATTGCAATATCCGATGCTCATGACTACCATCTACAGAAGGAGCCCACGTGGATGATATCTGATGTCCATACATTTCTACTATGCATGGGTGTTTCAGAGCACCTAAAATTCTTATTTCCCCTAAGCAACTGTAGTCGAAGTTCCTAATTTCATCCGTTAAAGCCCCACATACCTCTAAAGTACGCATCTGCAACATCCACCAGCAGAACCAAT